AAATTTCCCATCATTTGGACCCTACCAAGAATACGGTTACTATACTTTATCCTACCAAAGATCTTTGCTTCAAGAANGTCATAGAAAATATGACAGGTCTTTCAGGATAAAGTATGAATGATTTGAGGAGAAAGAAGTTAAACTGAGGGCTGGTCTTTATTAATTGTGGGGAAATGTGCTATTTGACTCTAGCAGGAGCCACACCTAGATACTAGTCACTTTGGATTAAGCATCCTGGAGATGGAAGAAGGGAGTTTTCAGGAAAAGATGGAGACTGAGGTCCACATATCATCTCATTTAATTCTTCCAGCCACATAGGGAGACATGGAGGGCCTATGAATGGTAGGATTCCTACTGACAGGGTTGTGGACATGTCACAGAGCGGTCCATAGTTGTTCACGAAATAAAGCTTTTTCAATCTAGTGCTTCCCATGGTGACTTCCAGGACAGCATTATCCTAACATCAGATCCCAGCGTGTTTATGGATTGAGCCTTACCTTTGCCGTCCTGGCTTTGCCATTTCCATTTGTCTCTCCTCTGCCTCCAAATATGCTTAAGTCCTTCTTTAAATAAAATTAAACAAAAGAAGCCTTTCCCGTAGTTCCTAAGCTAGCATTGTTTTTTTCCTCTGCTAAGGTTTTTTTTTGACCTCAGAAATATTCCACAAACCTCATTTTAATTTTGTATATTTACATTTCTAATAATAACTAAGTTTTCTACATGGTAAGAAGAGGATAATATACAGAGAAGTCCAGTTTTTGAGGGTTAGGGTTTGTTTTTGTTCTGTTGTATTTTAATCTACTCTTCCAAACAGAAAAGTTTAAAAAATGGTATCCTAACCACTTTCGATTTTTAACATTAAACCTGTATCTTACATGAATTCTATACATAACATGTTTTTGTAGTTATAAAAGGGTAGTTCTTGCCTTTGAATAGTTCATACATGCAATCGTTTTAAATCCCAGTTTCCCCTCTTATGTGTAGATTAATCTGGTGATTAATCCTAAAGATTTGCGAATTGACACTAAGCGAGCCAGTGGAGCTGGGGGCCAGCACGTCAATACCACGGACAGCGCTGTCCGGATCGTTCACCTTCCAACAGGTATGTGCTTATTTACTCAACACGTTGAAGAAAGAAATCAAATTCTGAATGACTTGACTAATTTTCCACTGAAATAGCTCCTCAGTTACCAAAAGGAATATATACTACTGCGGACTATTATTAGATGGTTGATTTACTTAAAATCCTTAGCTGAAACGCTGCAGGATAATTGTAAAGCCAGGAAGATGGAGGGATCTAAACCCAGGGAATTTCCATATTAGTGACTGAAGAGGTGTGGATTGTCCTTGCAGGTGGCTTTCTGAAGTTTATACTTAGTAGACATCACTATATAAAAAAAAAAATCTTAACAGTTAAGTTATTATCATGGGTTCTTTATCAGCAAATGCTCTAAATCGTTAGATCTTATCCTTTATTTGAAGGGAGAAGAACATGGACTCCTTTGAGAAAATGAAAGCTTGCACCTGCTACCCAAAAACATGCTTATACTCAGTTTTGCATATAATTTCAGGAGCTTCTTCCCATTAAACTAACCCACAGACCTCCAGGGGTCTGATTCTAGATAATTAGACAGCGGAACTATATGAGGTGTGATCAGAAAATATGGTGAATGTTTATAAATTTAAAAAAATTTATTACAGTAAAAGACACATTGCCATTAATCCCCCCCAGAACATTCCCCCTTGTTTCGAACACACTTAACCCCTCACTGTGAGTGTCTACTTCATCCTCCATCATGACAATGCTGTGTCACACCTCGCTTCTGGTACAGCAATTTCTGTCAAATAAAAACATTANCATATATTATTATGAGTCTCACAATAATCCTTTAGCCACTAAGACAGATGGCACCATTTTATAGCCAAGGAGACTTATTTTCAAAGAGGACGTTAGAATTATATCTGGTGGAGAAAGAACAGAAGCCCAACAAGGTCTGATTCTAAATGCAATGCTCTTCCAACTGCAACATGCTCACTAGTTATTCCATTGTCTAGTATTTCCTTCATGACATCGCTATAGGTTTCTGTGAGGCCCACCTTTGAACCTGAAGCAATATAAGAAATAGCAACCTTAGTTGCATGACTGAATTCTCCCTCAGACAAGCACATTAAAATTTCCCATCATTTGGACCCTACCAAGAATACGGTTACTATACTTTATCCTACCAAAGATCTTTGCTTCAAGAAATAAATTCCATCCATCAGTCTTATTTGCAATTTATAATTATTTTCAGTAGAAATAATCGCAAAATAATACGACTAAAAGTATGCATGGTAAAAATATTAAAACTGATAGAATCAGATATTCTTTATAAAATTCAACACGAGAAAAACTAAATTTAGCTAAAATTAAAAACACAGAAGAAGCTGTAATTGCTAAAATTCAATATAGACTTAGAAAGGAAAAAGAAAAAATATTCATCAGAGTTTTACTTAAATAAGAATCTTAAATTAAGCAACTTCAGTAAAACTAAAAATAAAATGGAAAAAATGGGAGAAAAACTTAATAATGATATGTAAAAAATCGGTCAAGGAACTAACTGACTTAAAGAAGGGCCTCTATGTGGAGGGGGGAAAAGAAAGTCTTTCAGTGAAAATTCATCATGTTCAGTGTAATTCTGCCAAAAATGTCCACAAAGTTTCCATTGCATCTTGATGGCTAGAACAGAAAGGCAGGGTCAAAACTTGGTGTGTTGTCTTCCAGAAATAATATTTCAGAAATAATGTTCTCCTCCACTGGGTAGGAACCCTGGTAGGTTAGGAATGGTATACAACTCAGTGCGACCCACTTCTCCCAAGCCACACTAGCAAGATGTGTCTTCATTCTCCCCACTTTCCCTCCACACTCTGGTTGAACCTTTAGCTCTCAGCACATTTTCCTCTCAGTGAGTCTGTGGAGTTTACAAGCCACTTGCTTTTCTTCTTCCCTGTCTCCTACTCCCCATGGGAATGAAAGCTTCCAAAGTCACTTATGCCTTTTTAAAGCTATAGTTGCCAGCTCTCTACACTGCCAACATTTCAAGCCCAGCTAAAACTGCCAGTTAGATGCAGCCGAATCTATCCGTGCTGTCTTGTGCCCTGTCCCACGGTAACCCTTTGCTTTAAACTCTGTTAGTGCTGCACTGCACTCCTTTCTTCCCCGGCCAAGATGTGAGTCTGTGAAGGCTAAGAATTGCCGTTGCCAAAGAGCAGCTCTTGTCTGTGCTCCTCAAATTTCTCTTCCCTTAGGNTCCCTCCTCCTACATTTTCTAACTTCTACCTAACAGAAACTAAAATTATTTAAAATCTTGCTTTACATATTCTCCCCAGTTCCCAGCATAGTCGGTTCTTAATAATAACTGATACTTTTTAAGAGTCTGATCTTTCAACAGAGAGCACAATTTAGAATAGCTTAAAAAATGTCCCCTTCTCTCCTTTCTATAGGTTGCATGTGGTCCATAGGATAGAGGAATGAGGAAGTATATTTGTAAGGTAAAAATGAAACCTCAGAGATGAAATAAGAATTAAGGTAAAGCCCAAGTGAGAGGAGTACTTCATGTAAACATTCTGTAAATATTAGGTAGGGTCTAAATGTTTGGGTGGATACTTTGTATTAATGAAATATTTACTAAGAATAAGTAACTTTCTGCTTTTTAATTCAGTTTTGGTTGAACTGATGGAACTTCTTGTTCCTCTTCCTCAATGCATTCATTTGTTGTACAGTCTAAGTTGGAAAACCAAAAGCATATTTATTAATATGAATATTTCATGGAGGTAGAATTATAGAAAAAATTTAATAGCTTATTTTTGTTTAGAGATTCTTTTTTATTTTTTATTTTATTTATGCTTTTGTCATCAGAGAAATTTTTTTTTAAAGCTACATGCTTAGGAAAACTAATGTGTCAAATGCTACTTTGAATTAATGGCAATTATTAAAAGGACAAGAAAGACATTTTATTTTTCCTTTTAGGTGCAATAACAATAAAACTATTACTTTGAATTCTGTTGGCAATTTAACACTAATTAAGACAAACTTAACCTACTGCCTTTGTTTCTTAGATGAAAATGAAGACTTAAGGAAACTTGCAGAGAATGAANTCCTCTGGTGGGCTGTGAAAGGGCCTTTTGAATAATGCAAAACATTATAGCAATCAACTTGAGTACTCCTGGCACCAATCCACTATCTAGAGTTCTTGGGGGAAGGATGGGGGTTGGACTATGGGGAACGGAGCTCTGAAGGCTTTGCTCCGCGGTGGTTTCCTACAACATGGAATCCCACAGCCTCTTTAAAAAACAGCTAACGGTAATTTGGAATTAAATGACAATGGTCTGGCAGGAGACTCCGCAAGGAAGTTGTTTGAGAGCAAGTAAGTTACATGGCAGATAAAGGGCAGGAGAGCGGATACAGCGAAATCACTCCGTGGTTGCCTTCGAGTACACTTGTCCTAATTAACAGAAGCATAGCCCACCGTCGAAAAAAGAAACGTGAGCACGGAAAACGAAGAGTAAACACACACAGTGATGCCTATCCTACAGTTAGCTCTTGGGGACGAAAGGCCAGGCTGGCACTGGCACTTCCCCGGCTGTGACCTCGGCTTGTGTAGCGGCTAATACACGGCCCTCCACCGTGGTACTTGAAAGCCTCATTCAGTGCTTGGGAAACACATCCTCGACCTCAGAACACAGAGCGGCAACCTGCAGCCTTCCGCTTCCGGGCTAACACACCGAGCCGGCACGTTCGAGGAGACGTCCTGACCCAGCGTTTAGAGGCGGTGCCCAGCGTCTCCGGACCCGCCCCTACCGCTGTCCTATCCGCTCGCTCAACTTCCGGCATCTGGGACTACGGCGGCGTTTAAATGCTTGGCCGGAAGTTGCCCCCCCCAGGCTTCCGGGAGGCCCTTTAAAACTGGCGTGCGCACTGGGCGGGGCTCGACCCGCTCTCGCCGAACTCGACAAATTCCGCTCAGTATCGCGAGACTCGCTCAGTATCGCGAGACTCGCTCCGTCCCAAACTTCCGGCTTTAGTCAGCCTCCGCCGTCTCAGCTTAGTGATGCGGTCCCGCCTCTTGTTGAGTGTTGCTCGGTGTCTTTGGACCCGCCGGGCTAGTGGCCCGGCCCGCCGACACATAAGCTGCGGTAGCCCGCCGCTGGAGGAGCTGTTCGCCCGCGGCGGGCCCTTGCGGACCTACCTGGAGCGCCAGGCAGGGTCTGAATCCCATTTGCAGGTCAGGGGGTCTGAGCTGGTGGCGGTAGCCAAGCTGCTAAGCGACAAGGAGCAGGAGCTGCAGGAGACCGAGCACTTGCTGCACGGTAAGGGCAGGGCCCAGGGAAACGGGATGCAAAGCAGATTCTTGACTCTACGTTTGCCTTTTCCACTAAGCAGCTGGTCAGGTGTCTACACTCTTCCCGAGTTTGAAGCTCTTTACTCAATTGCAGCCTTTTTTGGTTTGGATCAGAGGTCAAGGTGTCATGTGCGTTTTGAGCCCGTGGTTTCCCGTTTGAGTCCTTGTGCTCCCTTGAGTGCCCCGCCCCCTTTTACAGAATTTAAGTTCACGTTTATTGATTGAGTATTCTGTGACAGAAGATCGTTAGCTCACCAAGGACAAACAAGGCACTGTCCCTGATAGGGGCTCCAGAGCATGTTTCTCAAAAGTGTGACAAAAGGGACCACCTGCAATGGTGTCAGGAGGTGCGTGCTAAAACCAGGCATATGACCAGAATCTGAGACTTAGAAACAGGTATTTTTAACAAGTTTCCCAAGTGATCAGTGTGCATTTAACTCTAGAAGGGACCTAAGTTTCTGCATTTCTGTAAGCCCCCAGGGATGCCAAGCTGCTGGTGGTCCATGGGCCACACATTGGGTAGCAGCCACTAGAGGGGTTCACAGTCTATTTGGGGAGAGAGAATTAATTATAATACCAATGAAAAGTGAGAGATATCTGAATAAAGATCGAGGAGAGCAAGGAGAACTTGTTGGGAAGGTCTTGCGCAAGGATAAAGGCCCACCTTTCAGGGATATAATACTTTTTAACCTTTGTTGATCCTTTCCCATACCCCAGACTTAGCTTTCTTTAGGGAGTAACTCATCCAGTTCACATAACAAACTCCGAAGTAGGTACTATCAGCCTCATGCGACAGAAGAGGAGCCTGACGCAAAACAACTCATCTTAGGTTATACAGATTTTAAGGAATGGAGTTTTGGATCCGAATGACTCCAAATCTCATGCTTTTTAATCACTGTACTTGGGTGTTAACCAAGGGAAAGGAGAGGTTTTGGGGAGTGGCAGGTTGGAACATTTTGTAAGGGAGAGCAGGGTGTCAAATACTAATCTAAAAAGGTTAATTTTATCCTGTTGGCAGAAAGGAGCCTGCAGAAGCTTTTAGATTTGGGAGTGAATGTTAAAAATAGCCTGTTCCTTAGGAAGCTGGGTTTGTGGTAGCTTAGAAGTCAACCTGGAATGAGAATAAAGATGCCACGGAGAACAGAAGGCTAATGCAGTAGTAGTAGTATTAAGTGAGAGTTAAGGAGAGTCTAAATTAAGTGATTTAATAGAAAAGGCAAAGGCAGATGCCCAGAGTGTAAAAACAGGCTTAATTAAGAATATTGGGAAAAAATTTTTGGAGCAAAATTAAATTGGTTTCATAGCTTAAGCCAAGCTTAAAATCCAAATGGATTTAAAGGGTTAAATATTTTTTAAAACTGAACTATAGAGAATTTAACAGAATGTGAGAAAATTGTTGCTGGCAAAATGCAACTGAGTTTAAAAACAATAGAAAATATAAGTTAGCAACTCCTGAGTTCTTAATATATGTCAGACACCACTAATTACCAGAAATAAAGTATGGAACTACTTTTTAGGAGCATACAGCCTAGTGAAGAAGAGAGATGTTTAAGAAGTAAAAATTTAAGTGGATGAATGTTTATTTTGTTTTAATTTCTGCAATTAAGAGCAGAGTGTTATAAAAAATAAAAACTGGCATTTAAATGGATCTTGATGGGTAAGCAGAAGGCTGCCAGCTAGTGTAAGACAAGGGGCTGAAGGCACAGGTGACAAGTAAGGATAAAGTTCCAAATGGGGAAATCCATGCCAGGAGCATAGAGAAGGTGTGGGAGTTGATAGTATAATAAAAACTTGAAACCAGAGGGACAGTTAAAAACCTTGCATGACAAGGAATGTGGTACAGACCATGGGAAGTTAGCACATGTTTTTAAGCAGAGAATTGACATCTTTTTAAAGAAAGATTAATGTTGGCATCAGTGTTGAGGATGAATTGGAGTATTCTTCAGGGACCCTGCTGGCTGAAATTTAAATGATAATTTAAATTAAATTATGTCTAGAATTTAGTTCCAATCTCCTTAGTCCTACAGAACGCTGTATTTCCAAACTGAAAGGCATCTTAGAGATCACCCAGCTCAGACCTTTCAATTTACTCTTGAGATGACCAAGACAACAGAGAAGTTGGGTGTGTTCCTCTAAGCCAGTGGTCTCAACCTGTGGGTCGCGATCCCTTTGGGGGTCGAACAACCCTTTCACAGGGGTCGCCTAAGACCATCGGAAAACAAAAAGATATTTACATTACGATTTATAACAGTAGCAAAATTACAGTTATAGAGTAGCAAC